CCCTCGCCTTCCGCAGCACGCTTTTGGTGCTAGCGAAAGCCGCGTTCCCTAAAATGGACCATGACGGAATCGGCACATCCTCGAGAAACTGCTAGCATTAGCGAAATCTCTCCAAACCATCCTTCCAGCTGAGGATGGTGACATCTCGTCTCTTCAGGTCGCTAGGTGCATCCAAGCCCAGCAACTCCTGCAGCGGAACAGGGCGCTGGTGATGTGTGCCGTGTCCTGTACGGAGCCAGAGCCATCAGATGGAGTGGAGCCCGTGTCGGCATACGCATCGACTCGGGGTGGTGGCGACCAGGGTGACGGGGACGAACGACGGACGGACGATCAGCGGTGGCATAGATCGTCGTCTCGTTCCAGGGTCGGCCGTGTTACCTGCTACAATTGCGGCCTGCCAGGGCATGTGTCATCGGGCTGCCGCATACCACGACGGTGCCTCCCGGCATCACCGCCATCCTATGCTCCCCAGCACCCTAAGGCGAGTCGCGGTGCACTCCACACTCGACCCCTGGCCTCATCTCACCCATCTAGGCGGTTCGGTTTGCGTCTCGGTCACGCGGGGGTGAGGGGGAGTTCTACGTGTAATCATAGGGTTCGTCAGCTCCGACCAGATCAGTGGTCCGAGCTGGTCCATCGAGTGGTGGCCTCGGCCACGGGTTCATCTGCCGTGCTGGAGTTTATCGAGGGTGTGGAAATAAGGATGCTGGTTGACATGGGTGCGTCGGCAACTATCATTTCGCAATTGATTTACAATATTTTGCCCTCTAAATGTCGGGTTCTAGACCCTGTTGATGCATCGTGTTTTGCCGCCAACGGCGGCTCATTGGACATTATCGGTCAGATAACGGCCGATAATGTGCGCTGGAAGTGGTACCTTGTCCGCGGATCAGATGGGGAAGTTGCAGATGCTCTTGCATGATTTTTTTGATATTTTCAGAAAAGGTAAATTCGATATTGAGCGCACGTCGCTCCTGAGTCCCCACATTTATACAGGCGACGCAGCACCTATCAACAGAATCCCTACCGGCTGAGCCCGGTGGAGAAGGAGCATGTTCGACTGGTGGTTGATGAGATGTTGGCCACAGACATCATCTCACCATCCACCAGTCCCTGGGGAGCTCCGATTGTGCTTGTGAAGAAGCACGACGGTAGCATATGATTTTGTGTCGACTTTAGGAAGCTTAATAAGGTCTCTGTTGTGGATGCGTATCCCTTGCCTCGCATGGACGATTCGCTGGACGCGTTGGTGGGGGCACGCTCTTCTCCACCCTTGATCTCCTATCTGGGTTCTGGCAGTTGCCGCTTGACAATGTCTCGAGACCTAAGACGGCCTTTCGCACGCCCCAGGGATTGTTCAAATTTAACCGGCTTCCCATGAGGCTCCATTCCGTGCCAGCCACGTTCCAACGGTTGATGGAACTGGTCCTGGCGGGTCTCCAATGGGACTCGTATTTAATATACCTCGACGATGTGATCGTCTTCAGCCACACTTTTGATGACCATTTGCGCCATTTGCGTGCTGTCTTTGTCAAAATGCATGTGGCGAACCTTAAATTCAAGTCTCAGAAATGTCACCTTCTCCGGAAATCGGTCCGATATCTTGGCCACATTGTTGACGAAGAGGGTATTGCGACCGACCCGTAAAAAACTGCGTGTGTTCATACTTGGCCCACCCCCACCTCGGTGACTGAGGTGTGCAGTTTTATCGACTTTGCGTCTTACTATCGCCGCTTTGTCACCGGGTTTGCATCAATTGCAAAACATCTTCACATGTTAACGGCCAAGGGTCATAAGTTACATTGGGGGGAGGAGGCTGCATTTCATGCCATCCACGAGGGGTTAGTGAACGCCTCTCTCCTGCGCTATCAGGATTTTTCATTGTCGTTCGTCCTCCATACTGACACTAGCAATACCGGCATTGGTGCCGTATTGTCGCAGGTTGTTGACGGGGTTGAGAGGATTGTTGCGTATGGCAGTAGAGTGCTGTCTCCAGCTGAACAGCGTTACTGCGTTATGTGCCGTGAATTACTAGCCATTGTGGTTTTCGTGCAGCAGTATCGGCCCTACTTGTATGGTAGACGATTTGAGGTGCGCTCCGATCATGCAGCGCTCCAATATGTGCTGCGCGTGGATCAGCCGTCAGGCCAGTTATCACGCTGGCTGGAGATCCTGCAGGATTTCTCGTTCCACGTTACGTACTGCAAGGGTTCTCGTCATCCGAACGCCGATGCCCTATTGCGGTTGCCAGCGACCGGAGGTTGTGCATGTTTTTCATGTTCCGGGCAATGTAAACCGACCATACTTGGCCCGTTTCCCACTACCGCTCGGGGGAACAAATACCTGCATGTGGGAGTTGAGTATTTTTCTCGATGGCCTATCGCTTGGCCGCTCCCTAATTAATCGGATGTGACCATTACAGGGGCATTCCTCAATAGCTATGTTATGGACAAAGGTGCTCCGGAACGCCTTTTGACCGATCAGGGCAATAATTTGTCTTCTAAATTGTTGCATGAGGTCTGCGCTATATTGGGTACAAAGAAGGTACGCACGTCGCCATACCACCCGTAGACGGATGGCATGGTCGAACGGGTACATAGGACTCTGATCTCTATATTGAGCCACCAGGTCAGCGAGTCACAACTCGATTGGGATTTACATATCCCTGTGGTCCTCGCCGCTTACAGGATGGCCCCGCACGCATCCACCGGGTATTCTTAGTTTTTTCTAATGGATGGAAGGGAATACGACCCCCCCATCGATGTACAGTTACAGGCCATGTTGGCGAAGTATAAATCTAGGATTTCGGACTTCGTTCGCTTCAGAAGCTTTCTGAGGCACGGGAAGCCTCCAGGGTTAATTTTGAGTCATGACAATTGGCCAACGAATGGCTTAAGGATGTGCGGAATTCCCTGTATAAATGTACGCCTGGGGACAAGGCCTGGTTGCACTGCCTGCAGGTACCAGTGGGTACATCGCCTAAATTACTACAGCCCTGGTGGGGGCCGGTCGATGTCGTTCGGGTTGTTCGACCACAGTGTGTCCAGATTAACTTCGGTCGGCGGAGTTGGTTCGTGCATCCCTCTCGCTTGAAACCATTTATCGTGCCGCGCGAATTCGTTTCATCTCCACAATGCAGGGGCCGAGTGTCGATTGTGTCTGACGAGCCAGGGTGGGGGCCCGGTATCATGGACTCGCTCAAAGACTCGGTTTTCGTGATCCTCTTGCACACATGCTTCCACGCTGTCGGTTGCTTGTCATGCTCGCTGAGTCGTGGCGGTCATTGGCTGAACCTGGCCGCCATCAAGCTCGCGAGTTACACGGCAAAGGTGGGAAGTGTGATAGTATGGGGGATCCCGTGGTTTTCGCGTATCCTTATTTTATGGTTGCTGTGTTGTTGTTATGGGTTCATTGGTTTCCACTCTTCTCCCTGTTCGTTTGTACATTTGTATATAGTGTAACTTTTGTACAGGTGGGTTGGGGTATTTATTTCTGTTATTGTTGAGGCACACTGTAGTTTTTTTGCTCGTTGCATCTCACTTATTGTTCGTTGAGGGGGGAGTTGACAGCCAGGACGGCTGGATGCTATGAAGGGGGGGGGGTGATGTAGTGACATCAGGGATGTCACTGTATGGTGCTGGCCCGGAAGGGTCATGCCGTTTGATGTTACTACATCATGGACAGCACCATGTGGGTGGCTGTGTGTAATACCAGCCCTAGCGGGGCTTGGCGATCACTGGTATAGTGTGGGCACCATGCACAGTATGTAGTGGGGGCTCCCCTAAAGGGGAGGGGGTGAGTGTCAGCCCAGGGGCAGGGTTGCCCAGGCCGTGGCACTCTGGTTGACCTCGTAAACACGTGATCCGGAATGTCCACATAGGGGGCCCCACTTGGGGGGACTAGTGGGTGATTATGTGTCCAGAGAGAGCTCTTGAGAAGGATCGATAGGGAATGAGAATGTTCAAGAAGGTGGGCGGGCCCAAGGGCGGAGCGGCCCCGACCAGAGAGGGATATAAGGCGGGTCCCTGAGAGGGACCGGGGTCTCTTCGTTACACAAGCTGGAAGCTCTCCCGACTCAAGCTGGAAGCGCTTCGTCCTACGAGGGACCACATGGTCGGAGACCTGAGTGAGGGTCCGACCCTTCGTAGCAGTAACTCCCCTGTATGGTGTAGTTAGCTGGGTGGTCACCACCCTATCTTGTAGTCTGGTAAAAGGGGCAGTTACCCCTTTGTGTTACAAATAAAAGTGTTGCCTCTAAAAGGAACGTCTGCGACTCAGTTGGACCCACTACATATGTGAAAGAGAAATGTCTGGTTTATGTCATGCATCATCACACGTGCATTTTTTTAATTAAAGGTTTAGCTACATCTTTAAATGAATGGGTGATCAGTTTTTTACATGCAGTCTTTAAACATAATTGTTTTGGAAGATTACCTAAGAACACAATTAATAATCAGAGGGTGTTAAATGTATTCCTTATGATGGAGAAGCGGTAAATCAAAGACTACAAATTATTCATCACTGTTATATTTGCAAACTTAAGGAATGTGCCATATATCAGTAAATATGCCTCCTAGGCCATCACCATCTCTCAATTGAATCATTAGCATGAACAAAATTTCATTTTGCAGCAATACCATCACTAAATTTCAAGACTTTTTTCTGGAGCTCATGCTTATATATGATGACTGATGGATTCGTTGATGTGTATTTTTTACGCGTGTGAGTAAACCAGAGTACTTGTAAAAAGAACATAAATAAAAGAGTCACAGGTTGTGGGGTTCTCATTCCCATTACTAGTCCCCACTGCACATGTGTAAATGAATCCATGGCTTTGCTGAAATTGTTAATGTAATAGAAGACACATTATTAATGGAAATGTAATGTGGTAAAATATGCGGTACGCACTGCTGGCCGAGGGCAACCGAGGGCAGGCAGGTGCGCGTATGCAACGTAAGGTTGCACAAACAAACCTCCATCTCATTAAGAATCTGTTGCAGACGGGGTCGGCCCGGGGTTGTTCGCTGGCACTGGAGGTGTCGCCTTGGAGACGTGCGATAAGGGGTGATTGATGGCCTGACAGGCGCCAGCCTAATGTGCATCAAGGATTCCGGTTGCGACGAAGGGTTGAGAACGAGACGCCGTTGGCATTAAGCAGTGCTCTCCTCGCTCTGGGGCACGCGGCTTTTCCGACTCTCTCACCTTGGAGCGACTTCTCTTCGTGGCTCGGGATTTGGGGGTCACCCTCGTGGTGACGGAGGACGACAACCTTACCTCCCTGCAAGTGGCCCGCGGCATCCAGACACACCTCGACCTCAATGGCCGGCTGGCGGTGGCAGCCAGCGCATCGGGGCTGGACGCGGATGCGCTCGGGGGTGCCTCCTTCGACCATGGGTTGGAGGAGAGGGATGTCGCACAGTGCCCGTTAGTGCGGGAATGGTGCCCCAGGCTGCGCCAACCGGCTGGGTGCCCCTACCGTACCTTCTACAAATGCGGCTGTGCGGGACACATCGCCATTGACTGCCGCCGCGGGACCAGAGGGTTCCCGCCGCATCCATCCTATGGCTTCAACGACTCCTCTTCCCGCGACGTACAGGGCCGGAGGACCTAAGGACCATGGACGGAGCGTTGCAGACTCCCTCAGCGGACCACTCATCACACTCGAGCGGACCTGTCTCTACCCACGGGGACGGGCCTGCTGCACATACTCGTTCACGACATGTCGTTTTTAATTAATTCCCCATTCCCTTGTCCTTGTTATTGTTCATGGTCACTGTTTATGATTGTATTGTAGTTAGGGGTCAGTCACTGGACACTATAGAGTTGTGTTAGGGGTTGTCACATTGCGAGCGCACAGGTTATGTATAATCACAGCCGGGACGGCTGCGTTTTTATTCGTTGGGGGGGGGGGGGGGATGATGTAGTGTGAGATGCAAATGTGTGAGATGGTGAATCCAGTTTTTAAAATGTTTAATCATTTTTTGTTAAAACCTTAATTGAAAAAGCCAATCTCTTTTTAAAAAATAATTTATTTTTGGAATAATTCGCATGGTTGTCTCCATACGGTATAAAATAAGTTCAACATACAAAAGTCTCATTTAGAACCAGGGAACAGCCCATTGAGACTAAAATGCCTTTTGCCAATAGCTCAAGTGATATGTATGGTGAAGAAATGTAAGATTAAATGCCAAAATACCTATCTCAATTCATAATATATAGATACAGATATTAAAACACCAACAAATATGATTGTATGTGTTTTCACTGAAGTGATGTTTTGCAGTATGTAAATCAAAGTTTTACATTATTTTTTTAAAAGGTAAATCAGCAGGTCTTGTGTGGTGGGGTAAATTGTGACTACTCACACATTCCAATACATCTTGCCAGTTTGAAAAAGTAGGTTAAATATTCGCTACGGGGGCTTTAGATACCCTCCTTCTAGTGGAGGCTGGGCTGTGCCTTTACGTTTACCTTACAAAACTAAACTTTTTATTTTACCAGATAAGGCCTACTGAGCTATACAACTCTTTTTCAGAAGCGAACCTGGCCACAAATGATAGCTTAACGAAGTGGCTTGTAATGTGGAAATTTATAGCAGCCGAATACTATAAACGCATGTTTCTAAATGTGGAGGGAAAAACCAGAGGACCCGGAGAAAATCCACATGACCACAGGGAGCACATGCAAACTCCAAATATACAGGCGTCAGGTCGGGATCGAACCCACGACCTCCTCAATACCAGGCGAGATATCATCATTCGTGTCCATCATACCAACGTAGTCAGACCAGTAATGACCCAGTGTATATAACTGGAAGTGATAAGCGTGGCAATATTTTTTTCGCATGCTGTTCCTCGTGACTGCACGGTTAGAGTGGCCAGATACTCACAGGGGATCTCATGAGAACATAGCTGCATTGTCCTCCCACTTTACCGATGACCATATAGCCGATCACAATTGAGAAAAACAACGCCGCTAAACAATACCTCGTTCCTTCCCATGCCAGGTGTCGTCGCCGCCTCTCCATCCAGCTGCCCATCCTGCACCACGCCTACTTCCCCACGGTGGGGGGCGTGGACCCCGGCGACTCGGTCCCCTGCTCCAGCTACACTCCGCAGCACCTGCGCAGAGACGGCAGCATCTCCAGCAAACACCAGCCCCTCACAGTCATGGTGACGGGACTTTAATGGGCACTCAACGACGAGGCACAGGAGCGCGCGTGCACCCAGATGCACCACCTCCCAGTTGGCTGCCGCAGCTCCTGTGCGAGGACCCTATTTTGTACAAAGACGTATTTGGCCTGGGCTAGGTTTCTGTCCGATCTGTTCATTTTTATACACTAGGAGAAAAATAACATTCTACAGATATCAGATGAGCATTTAAGATATGGGCAAAAGAGCTGGACTTTTGGCTTGGGGATTTAAAATATATATATTGTATGCCAACGTACCGACAGATTTGATGAAGATTTTTGAGTACCGCTCCTGGATTGCCACTGATCTGCTATTGGGCCTGAGACATCTGTTTCTCCAACAAGAACTTCACGAAATGTCACGTACCACCAAGATGGCTTAATCTAATCTTTGAATCAGTCATACCACCAACGACATTCAGGTGACCTTGAATTAATTATTAATGTACAACAACGTGCTCCAAAGGCCTGTATAAACCACAATGTTATCCTTAGCAGTTGGCATATCAGAAGCAAGTATTGTGATGATTGTGAACAAAATATGACAGATACGAGGTCTTAATTAAAATAATGTCACTTTTTTAAACCTTAAAGAAAATGTAACAGTTATATATGTACTATATATTAACACATAATTCATTATAAGAGTTAACATGTCATGTATTGTAGGTTTTTTGAAGTCTTTGTATTCATTGCAGAACTTGCATATTTTCAGCTTCACATATCTTACAATAAAACTGTTGTACGATTTGCCTTGTCATGCTTTTACCTTGGAATACACTTCGTATAAACATGGTACCGCAGTTGGAGGTCAACATGACAAATGTAAATAAAATAATTAAACTAATTAAATTCCAGCCATTCTCAATTCACAAATGTATGAAAGTCTCCCCACACCATTTTTTACACCATACTTCACTGATCAGTACATGTTGGTGAAGCGGGAGGATGGAGATAGGATACCACTTTGCCACTGATGTTAACCATGGGCCAGAATCGATATCAGGTCGTTGGGTTCATCGTGCAACACACTAACATCTGTGCCACCATTCCACCACGAAATATAAATGACTTAAAAATAAATTATAAAACAAACATGCTTACTTTTTTATGGGTTACTGAGGACTCCCCTTGTTAACAAAATGTATTTAAATGAAAAATCGAATTGTATTATATTGGTACGGGTTACTTCTATTACAATAGCTGGAACAATGGAAAAACACGATGGTTAGAATACCCACTCCATTATAATAGCACATCCCCATAAGGAACAACATTAAATATTACAAAATCAATTTCTGCAAAGGCTTGAAGGGGCTGCAGGGGTTAGGCTTTGAAGGTGGAAATCTCCTGCAGGAATGAACGGTAACGGCGCTGTCCGTTTGAACACTGACAATATCTAGAGCTGCTACATGGCCAGAGTAGTACTCAGGTAGTAAGAGCAGCAGTGTGAATGAATGTAGAAAAAAATCACGTGCACACACGTGCCTGTACTTGTCGTCAGAGCTAGTTATAGGATCAGCTTCACATTCAAGGATGTTGTGGTGTCAAGACGTACTCTAAGAATGGCCTTGTATTCAGATATAAAAACACTGATATGTAATGAGCAACTAGACCTTTCGTTTATGGTATGATAATATTAATGCAATGATATAATTTATAATGAAATGGATCAATTTGGCATATCTTGAAAGGAAAAAAGTTTGTATCAATATCAGAGTACCTGCAATATTTAATTGTGTTTGTAGGTACAGTAAGGCTTAGGTTTTCAAATAACGACGTTTCGATCGCAACGCAAGCAACCGTCATCAAATGAGACAAACTCAGCAGAACTGCTGACGCAGGAGAAAGATCTGCAACATGAGGTTATATAGGATTTAGGTGGGCTCAACCCATAGGTAAGTGGGCGGAGCTAGAGATGGAATTTGGACGTAAATGTAAGAGCTTAGCACGTCAATATGAGACGGCTCCAGCAACCAGGGGCTGTGCCAATGAGAAGATTAGCATGTCAATGTCAGAGAACCAGGCAACAAGAATAAAAAATCCGCAAGAGCAACTACGAGGAGAGACCAGCATGTCAACGAGAGAGATACACATGGAGAGAGATACAGAGAAAGAGACACACAAAGAGACACACACAGAGACAGAGAGAGAGACGCATAGAGGGACAACCCACAAACAGATAGAGACATCCACATAGAGAGAGACACATATAAAGAAACACAGAGAGAGAGATCCAACCTCGAGAGACAGAGAGAGACACGTAGAGAGAGAGGCCCACACAGAGAGAGACACAACCGCCATTCGCCACTAAGTGGCGGTGCCGTCACCACGAGACAGACACAGAGAGAGAGACACACACAGAGACACGCACAGAGAGAGACACACAGAGAACGACACACGTACAGAGAGACAACAGAGAGAGAGACACACATAGAGAGACACAAGCACATGGGGAGAGATACAGAGAGACACATGGAGAGAGAGAGACATACACCCAAGAGACAGAGAGAAAGACACACATAGAGAGAGAGACACAGAGAGAGAGACACACAGACACACACAGAGACACAACACAGAAAGACACAGAGAGAGAGACACACAGGGAGACAACTCCGACACACAGAGAGACACAGAGAGAGACACACACAGAGAGACACAAAAAGAGAGAGATACACACATAGAGACACATACAGAGAGAGATACACACAGAGAGAGACAAATAAACAGAGAGACACAAACACAGAGACACATACACATAAACATCACAGCCAGTTACAGTAAGTTATAGTCTGTTAAAAAACGAGAGCTGCCGCCATAGCGAGGGAAAGGGGCAACGGGAGCTGTGTTAGTGAGATATTTAGCCCGTAAATGTAAAGATATTTAACCTGGTGGTGTACTCAGAGAGTCGGAAATAACAGCTGACATCGGCAGGTAGGCTAGAAACATCACAGTCAGTTAAGACTTTACCTGGTTAATAACGTCCTTCCAATAATTGCTCAGTTTGTACCCATCTTCTCGGTTGAAGTTGTGTCTGTGTTTATATATCTCGATGGCTTCATGAACAAATCTCTGATGATAGCCGGTGGGTTTGCAGAGTACCTTCGTGTGAGCCCACAGCGTTAAAACAATGATCGGCAACGGCAGAGGTATTGGTCCTACCGTGTTTCAGATCTGCCTTGTGTTCACGAACACGGTTCTCTGGTTGCTGGAGCCGGCTCATATTGACATGCTAATCTCTTACATTTACGCACAAATTCCATCTCTAGCTCCTTACCCACTTACCCAGGGGTTGAGCCTACCTAAATCCTATATAACCTCGTGTTGCAGCAGCTCTTTCTCCTGCGTCAGCAGTTCTCCTGCTGTGTTTGTCTCACTTGATGACGATTGCTTGTGTTGCGATCGAAACGTCGTGATCTATTAATTTTCTATCTACGTGACTTTACCGAAAGAACCAAAGAGTATGGATTCCTGCAGTCACGAAAGCTTCAAATCAAGATTTTAAAATAACTTTGTGAGATTGTGGTAACAAGGTGGTTATCTTTTGATGTGCGTGGTGACTTGTAAACAGCACTGAATTTTCCATTATTTTCAAGTATAGACTTTGAGAATAACTGCCACAAATGCTGGCAGACATCACATTTTTGCAAGGGGCTCCAAAATCGATTTTTTTCTTTCTTGATATTGTAGCGTATAACAGCCAATTCATGTTTTTAAATTCTAAAGAATGTACTATTACAATTACAACTTTATTGCGAAAGAAATTACTCTTTGCTCATCATACTATGTGCTTAATTTACTTCAGATTGTTGCGTATATTACTCTTTAAAATGGAAAACACTTAAAACCATTTACCAGTAAATAGAAAAGTGACTTAAATTAAAATTCAGTTAATGCAATTTCAATTTCAGGACCGTGCCATTAACTTTACCTTTTAGCACGGGTGTGGTACAGTGAGGGAAACAAGTATTTGATCCCTTGCTGATTTTGTACGTTTGCCCACTGACAAAGAAATGATCAGTCTATAATTTTAATGGTAGGTTTATTTGAACAGTGAGAGACATAATAACAACAAAAATCCAGAAAAACGCATGTCAAAAATGTTATAAATTGATTTGCATTTTAGTGAGGGAAATAAGTATTTGACCCCCTCTTAACTAGAAAGATTTCTGGCTCCCAGGTGTCTTTTATACAGGTAACGAGCTGAGATTAGGAGCACACTCTTAAAGGGAGTGCTCCTAATCTCAGCTTGTTACCTGTATAAAAGACACCTGTCCACAGAAGCAATCAATCAATCAGATTCCAAACTCTCCACCATGGCCTAGACCAAAGAGCTCTCCAAGGATGTCAGGGACAAGATTGTAGACCTACACAAGGCTGGA